GAGAGCGAGAGAGCGAGAGAGGGAGAGCGAGAAGGTAAGAACCAGAGACAGAGACCCAACCAGAGAGAGTGGCTTCCGTGTCAAGACAAAATCAGAAGGAAAACGCAGGAAGGGAAAAAGAGACCGAAAGAGACGTTGACAGACAGCGAGATGCACCCGATGGCAGCAAATGCGAAACATCCTTAAATCCTGGCCGGCGGCAGGTACGCCGCACTGCGAGGTGAGTGCGGGCAACACCGCTGAGTGTGAGAAGTGGCGGCAACGCCGCACGGAGAGAGGAGTGGCGGCAACGCCGCACAATCACAGTGGCGGCTAGTCCGCACAATGACAGAGTGAGTTGCGGCTACGCCGCAGAGTGACAGAGTGAGAGGCGGCTACGCCGCACAGTCAGAGTGGCGGCTGTAATTACGCCGCACTAGCGAGAGAATTCCATATCTAATTAAAGAAGCAGCAGCATAATACCTTCGTTCATATGGCGCGGCCTAGCCGCGACCTCGCAGAGTCCATTCGTCTTGTGCAACTTATGAAGAATGGCAATACAGATGTGAGGCGGTACCAAATTTGTTCAGCAGCTACCCAGGTTTTGCACGTGCGGTTCCTCCGCAACGACTTGAAGCAGGAGGTGTTGCTCGAACACGTGCATGCAACTCTTGCCTGCATCAGCGAGATCGAGCAGTACCGCTTGCATCTCAACAGTTGCCCGGGCAGCACAGCTGCTTTCTTGGTGGACAAGGCCCCGAACGTCGCTTGGAAGTCTTCACACGAACGGCTGCTGGTCCAGCTCCGGCGGGAGTGGACGCTGGTTCTGCGACTGGAGTCGGCCCCGGCCACGGCGAAGATGCTTGCAGATCTTTGCCCCCACACGCTCTGGCAAAACTACAGAGAGTTGTTGACCACGTTGGAAATGGCCGGGTACCAGGTGTCCGAGAAGTTCGAGGCCCTCGTGGAGGCCTACTTCCCGCTTCTAACACAGAGCGCAAACATAGAGGACATCTATGCTGCGATGCAAGACTCGGTCAAGCGGGGCAGAAAGACTGAGAGCAAAGTAACCCCGGCCAACCTGAGCGCCGTCGGAGTGCGTTCTCTGTCGCAGCGACTCTGCAACGGCGAGCAGAAGTCGACGCCTGTGACCTTGGACGCCGAGGACTTTCTTGGACGAGAGGTCCGCCTCTTGAAGAGCAAGCTTTGGTCTCCTGACTCTTTCGTGCCCAGAACCTTGGCAGCACTACGCTAAAGGTGTCTCCTGCCGCTTCAGTTTAGGCAAAGCTCGACTTAGAGACCACGCAATGCACTACATATAGCTATGTAGTATTAACCTCTGGATTTTCAACCCCCACCCAAAAAAACAGCTATCATCACAGCCCTCCCAGAAAATCTTCGCCCTGCACCCCATCTCTTTCTGACACCAGACGTCGCATCCAGATCCCCAGTGTTGATTTCTTGGTCTTAGGCAAAGACCTGCCCGTGGACAACTTGCTCAAGGATGCCACAGGCAGGTCCGCCTACTTGCATTCGAAAGAAAGCCTGAACAACATGAGGGGCCTTTTGCTGGCTGAGTCGTCTCTGAGCCGCAAGCGGCACCACGTAATCAGTAGCTCTGCCAATGCTTCGACCTGCCTCTCTGTTGGATATAATTATGTTAACCGAGGCAAGGCTCTGATGTTCAGGCTGCAGCGGATTCCTTTTGGGTTCCGTTGCTGTGCCAACGTGGGATGCTCATTCGTGTCCAGTCCAAGTTCTACCTGTCTCTCGGCCCCACGCCCGCAGTAGCTTACGCTCCTCGGCCGCAACAGCTGCAGTCCCGAGACCACCCCTGCAAGCTCACTAGCAACATTGTATCACAGACCCTTCATGGGAAGCTTCGATTGAAACGGCAGAGTCCCTTGCTGTCCATTGGACAAAACTGAGCTTGTTTTTCCTTCATTCCGGTTCCTTTCTGACGAAATCCTGATATTCGGCATTCCCGAGGTTCTGCCGCTGGAGGAGATTGAGCTCAGCTTCCGTGGAACTTTGCCACTAGAAGATGTGGATGAGAAGCTTGTTCGCCGCGAGAACGACCGGCCCGATCTGCTGGGAGACTGCCTTTTGGATGGGGAGTGTGTGAAGGCCCTTGCCATCGGGTCTGGCCCGAAGCTTGGAGGATTAAGGCTGCATGCTTCGGCCATGTTTCCCATCGAATTCATCCTAATATCAAAAAATGAGGGATATGCCAGTCATCCCTGCATCATTGGATCCAAGGACGACGGTGCAGAGGCTCCTGCTGAAGTTTACCGAGGCGAGGAGTGAATCATGGTTCCCAAGGACCGATGCTTCAGATAAGGTTGTTGAGACCCGACTCAGGTTCAATGCCACCGCTATACGATCCACACGTGCGGCGGTGCATTGGCCCAGAAGTTGTCCTGCTGCTGCTTGCTGCGCAGAAGTGCGAAGCCCTTCCCCTTGGTGGCAGTGCTCATGCAGAGAGCAGACATCTTCAAGCTCACGAGCGACTGTTTGAGCAGAGTTCTCACTGCCTACAACGTCCGTTTTCGCAAGAACGGCACCAAGACCAGCAAGATCAGAGAGATCGCAAAGCTCGGAATCGTGGAGCAGCACGTCAGCAAGAAATCCATCGAGAAAGTGCTCAAAATGTGCGAGGAGCTGGATGAGCGGAGACGCAAGAAAGCATCATCTTCTAACGAGGACGACCCCGACGCAGATGAGGAAGATGATGATGCCGATGAGGCCAAACTGAAGTTATATAAGAGTCGTGGCTAAGAATAATAATAATGCTATAATCTGCTTTTGGGAAACTCTACGAACCTACAAGATAGATCATTGCAATGAAGGAGTGAAGTGAGAGAAATCGAATGAGATGAATGAGTGCAAGCACCCATGCAGCATGGATGAAGGAACGAAGGCATGGCTGAACCAGTGAGTGGCTGAGTGAGTGAATATGGAGGGAATAAGGGAAGAAGGAAGCCAGGCAGGAATTGAAGCAATGATGCAGTGAATGAAACAAGGAATGTGTCATTGAATGAATGGAGAAAGGAAGGAAGGAAGGACATAAGGAAGGCCTGTTTCTTTCAACGAACAAATGCACAGCCAGGTGCAGGCCATGCAGCTGGAGGGCGACCCGGCTTGGCAGGCGGCAAGCGAGTTTCTCCAGCAGCTCGAGCTGGAGGCACGATTTCGAGTAACTAAAGAACGTCTTATCACGACTGAGCTTGTTTCAAAGTCTTACTAAAACTACTGATGGAAACAAGCATAGCTGACACTTCTACCAGCATCGGCTTCACACTTCAACAAATCTCCCCCCTAGGAAGAGAAGCAGCTGGAGCAAGAGCCAGCAGAGGGCGCTGAGGCCGAGGGCGGAGGCGAGTCAGCACCGGCGGCCAGCGAGGCCGCTGCAGCCCAGCAGGAGTCGCAGAGCCGAAGTCTTCTGGTGTCCTCAACCACGGTTCCCGAGCACCTCTCCGCGAAGTACCCTGTGCCGGATGGAATCTGGATGACGCATGCGGTCACGAAAGACAAGACATTGCCTCACTTCCAGGCCAGAATTGCTTCTGGAGCTGGAGTCTACAAAGGAAAGTTCCGCAGCAGCATTTCAGAATTCAGTTTCTTTTTGCTGCATTCGTTTCTTTGAAACCAAAACCCACAACCCATGCAAACTATCGAGCACACATCCTGCAGGGGATCCTGTGCTGCAAGCTACAACAGCTCCTTGACCGAGACAGAGATCAACGAGGCAATCAAGCTCGGCGCGCAGATGGCTCCGCGACTTCGGTCGCAGGCACAGGCTTACTACATCTGCTGGTGCTGGGCTGTGGATGCAAGCAAGGCTCTTGCATCAAACAAGAGGCAAAGGGTCTCTTGAGAGAGTAGCTCTTGAGGGGTTCACACGTGCCGCAGCCGACACAGCACATGAGGGCACAACACCAACACAAGTCAGCAGCTGCAGCACGTGTGATGGTGGGTGTGGAGCATGGCTGAGACATGCCGCGATGCGACCAAAAAGTGAGTGTTGCTGAGAGCAGTTGAAGCAATCCCCAAGCCGAAGCAGAACCATCTAGCGAAGCAGAAGGGCCCTTGAAGCAGAATCGATTTGGGCCATTATGAATAATATGTAGTAAACATATTAATTTCATGTTGTATATTGTTTATGTACGTAAAAATGCCTGCTCTTCTGCTTACATATCACTAGTTTAATCATTACAATAATTACAGGGGTGAGACTTCAGTCTGAGGACGGATGCCGACTTTACCTTCGCAGGGCTCATGTCCTGTGGGAGTTCCTCCAAAGGCTAGAGCACGTGTGCAGTTCTGCAGATACCGTGCATATGGCCAGCCTGCTTCTATGGGGCCCATTCACCCAAATGCCTGCACTAGACGGAACTGTGCCATCATCTTGCAAGATGCGTTTCTTTCATGCCACTTGTGCGAAGCAAGCATTCAAACAAAATGCCCGTGCCCTCGACAGGGCCCAGCAGCTTGACAAGCATCACACAGTTTCTTCGGACGGGTTCACCACGGCGGGAGGTCCAAACAAGACGAGCCTTGCTATGCAAAGATCCATAATACACACCTGCAGTATTCAGAGTTTCATGTGGCAAGGTGCCGTGAGCTGTGGGTAGCCTTCCGTCCGCTCGAAGGCCACGCAAGGGCCATCGAGGCCGCAGTTGCAGGGAAGCGCCCAGGAATGACCTGTGAAGAGTTCCTGAGGCAAGGTTAAGGGAAAGCTATGGTGGCCAGTCATATAGCTGCAAGGAATAGGCCTGTGGACTTATGCTTTAAGTCTCAGCAATCCAAGCTTTACAGGTTAATGCTTTGGTGTTTAATCCCTTCCGGCCAATATTAAACGGCCTCCCTCTCAATACAAACTCGGAAAGTGTTTTTTATTCTTCGGGGTAGTAACCGGGTAGTATGTTTGTCTCTACTGCCACCTTTGAGGGGTCGTGATCTTGCTCCCATTCTGGCTCTTGCTCCCGCGCTGGCTTTTGCTCCGGCTTCTGCTGCGTCTCTTGCGCCTGCTCCTGCTCTTGCTGTTGCTGCCGCTTTTGCTCCTGCTCCTGCTCTTACTCCCGCTCTTGGTTTTGCTTTGCTCTTGCTGCTTCTCTTGCTGATGCTCCCGCTTTTGTTCTTGCTCCTGCTCTTGCTCTAACTCCTGCTGTTGCTCTTGCTCTTACTGTGCTCTAAGGGTATTTGGAGCCTCGAAACCCTCCCCTAATTCAGAATATCAGAATAGGTTTTAAAGGGCAGGGATGATTTCTGGACCATTCGCCCCAGTGTGTTTTTATTATTAGGGGGTGTTTAGTAAGGGACCAGACCCAAATGAACCCCTAAAGTCCTAAAGATGATGGCCAGAGGACAGAAACCGGCCAGGGGAGTAGAAGGACAAGCAATGTTTTGCATTGTGGTCGTGGTGTCACCGTAGTTTTTATTGACATACCTGTTGCCGCGGTCGCTGCATGTCGCTGCCACGGAAATCAGTTGTCAATCCGGCTCGTGCCACTGTGTTTGTAGCAATGAATCACAGTGGGGTCGTGCCGAAAGCTTGTGTCATCGACCATTGATCCTATTCTGACTAGTGATTGCTAACCTTCACTGCAACACGACAGTCACTTGCAGCAGGCATCCAGCTTGTCTGCCCATCCATGGAACACCTCAGGCTAGACCAATGTGGGATATTTGAGACGAGATGGGAGAAACGAAACTAAACACGCCTTGCAGTTTGCAAGACTCCTGTCTCAGTGTGCTGCATGGGGTTCCCGCCTAAGAATGAGGGCGGAGGATTTCGGGACAGTCCTACGACTAGGCTGCGCATTTACCCAACCATGCACTCAGAGCCACAAAGGCAAAAGCAAGCAACCGCCGTTCGGTGCAACAGGACCCCAAGACCTCAGCCAAACGCCTCAAATTGGAGGTCCCCCGGATCCCAAAGTCATCTTGGAGATCCCATCCCGAGCCCCGAGCTTTTGAATCTTGTCGCTATGGCACATCACCCTGAATCCCGAGAGCTAAAACCGAAATCTCAACCTCTCACAAAATCCAAGGCCGTGCAAGCCTTCGGTCCGTTGCCCCTGCCCTGCCTCGCAGCAAGCGAAGCCTTTCACGCCGCATCCCTCCTGACCAGCCCCTGGCTGACAGATGCCAGCCGGGCCAGCCTCGAAAAAAGGGCTGGAGCAAAAAGCAAAACGACAGCAACAGCGGTAACAAAAAGCAATTACGTGCAGCGGCATCATGACCATCACCATCCAACCAACGTTCGGAATACTAGTGATACTAGTGCACAACTGGAATGAATGGTACGTAAGCATAACGCACAGAAAACTGAGAACTATGCTCAATAGCGACTTTTCAATGATGGCCAGCCATAACCAGTACCGTAACTGACACAATCATCCTAACAAGCATAGACGCCAACGGCGGACACCAAATCCCGAACAGCACGTCACATCCGAAGAAACATGACTCTTGCTGCGAGTCTTCCCTCTCATGCCTCCCTCGGGGCGCCTTGTGCAGAAACGACTCGTCTCTGCACGCCATTTGGCGGCCGGGCCAGTAGGCGAACTTGCATGGTAGCTTCGGCAGCTGGCCTAGCAACCGTGGCCAGGTGTTACACAGACTACCATCAATATCAATATTAATATTCCTATTAGTATTACTATTACTGTGAATATAAATATATTGCTATTAATATTACTACCAGTAGGACGCGTGCTTATTTTACTCCGAGATTGAAGCGCGCTTGGCTGTAGGGCCCCACCCTCGACCTCCGGCCAGCAGCTCCAAAGTCTCTTGAACATCCGACTCGAGGATCCTGGGATTCGGAGACGGAGAGCTTGTGTAGGATTTATCAAAACACATAAGCACGTAGGGAATGAGGGAAGGAAGGCTAAGGGCATCATTACACAAGATCTTCGGGTCTAGGTAAGGCCTTGGAATCGAAACTCCAGCATAACCACCCTTTGCCCCCCTCACACATGGTGAACATTCCATACTCCGGCCCCCGGAGCTCCCGGAGGGGTTCGGTGAGGGCTTGGACCTTCTGGCTTCGCGCTGAGGGTTTCGGATTTGAGGGCCAGGGGCAAACGACGTTGGGTTTTGCTTCTGCTGGCGTGCTTCCCCGGCACCTAAGCGTCTTCCTCATATAAAATATTCAGGGACAATATGAGGCTGAAGCGATTCAGTTGGATCCCTCGCCGGTACCTCCGGGCATGCTGCTACTAGCAATAGGTGAAACTTCAATTGGGTCGCAGGCTGCAAAACTGACTTCCTACATCTACCCGTTCAACCTCGTGTACACCGATCAACCTCGTGTACACCGAGCTGTCGCTTCGAGGCTCAGTACAGACACGTCTGTGGGAGGCTTGCTCCGTGCGGTCCACCTGACAGTTGCTTAGATCAGGTCACGCTTTAGGGCGCACTACACCAGGTTTCAAACAAGCAGATAACTAGATCAAATTAGATCAAATTGTGGCCGGGACTGGCATTAAGGATCGCGCATGTTGGGTCTAGCTCTTTGTGGAAAGATTCCGACCTCTGCGTGGCCAGAGCCAGGAATCGAGGGTGTGCCGCTAGAGAAGATTCGGCCAAAGTCCCGTTGAAGTACCGAAACAGGATCTTTGCAGAAGCGTACTGATCCACTGTGCAGTCTTGCCAGTGCAGCATTCTTGCAGCAAAGGCCGGAGAGTTGGCGCAATTCCTGAGTCTGCGCTACAAGTACCAACCAATCAAGAATGCATTGAAGAGCTCGTTGTCTTGAAACGGTGGAAGAGCATGGGCATCCATCATGTCTCCACTGACATAATTCGCCGAACCCTCGGGTCATCCTTAAGCCTTAACCCTACATTTGCAACCTAAACTCATAGTTCTCGGCAGCACCAAAATCCGGCTCAATAGCTGCGCCAACTGGAGAGCTGCCAGTACCATACCGAAGTCCCCCTTGTCGGGCTCAATGGGCTTCGGATTAGGTTTAAGGCTTAGGATGTGCTTGGAGTTTACCGTGGCTGGTCCTTCCTAGAAAATGAAGCCCAAGTCTTCGAAGGCCATTGTAACATGAACTGGGAGATCTTCTGAACGGTCCGAAATGCTGTTAAAGGTATCCTCCAATGCCACTACCGTGAACCCATGCGTGGCCTTCAGGTCTTGCCCGCGAGGGTGTGTGTATTGCAAGAACCTCTGGGAACTCTGCTCCGGGAAGCGCTCCGACCAATCATCCACAAACCAAATACCTTGCTTCAGATTTAGGGATCGGGAACAGCATTCTGCTTAACGGTGGGACATGCTGGGGATCAGCACTAAGGATTAGGTTTCCTAAGCGGTTTCCGCAAGGAGCTTGGGCCAAACGCGCGGAGCCCGCATGTTTTCCAGCCAACTCCATCATGCAAAAAACAATATACAATCCGTGATATCTCTGGGACCGGCGTCGCAGGTATGCGATGGCATCCGAAAACAGCAGGGGTTCTGCCAACTACGAGATCCCTGAGAAAGAAGTCTGCGATCGGTGATTGTCTAAAACCTTGCTGTTCGATCGAAGCATGCACTGAAAACTTAGCCAAAACTGGAAGGAGATCAGGACCCAGATACCTCTGTCCCGCATGAAGTAGATCTTCTCATCTACACCATTTGCGTGCACGAACACTGGCAACTTCACGCCGTCTGTTGTAAGATGAACACCGCGCCAGAAGTAGTTCATTCCATGACAGATTTCTGTGGGGTCCAGCACCCTGAGCACCAACTTCCTTCTTGCGGTAACCTCCGGGCATCGACCACCCACCTGTCACGAAGATGTGATCGTGAAGGCAAAATGCTCAAAAGGAAACCCCAACAAAGGATACAAAAGGAATGACCCACTCGACCCTCCTGACAAGTGGCCTTCTTCCCCTGTCGAAGCATCTCGACAATGGCCAGCCGCTCAGGGGCCCACCCAGAAGGAAGCATCACGGAAGAGTTTCCATAGCGGACGAGCACCTTTGTGGAGGAAGCTACACCCAATCTGACTGTCCCAACACATCTGGCGGAGGTCGACATGAACCGAAAAGGATTTTCCCTGCGACCGTCACGGTCGAAGGATGAAAGCTCCTAGCGCCTGGCCAGAAGTGGATCCGTTGTTGTGTTAAACCCTGTTGTCCATGCACATCAGTGGTACCATGCATTGGTTCAAGAAGCAGCTGGTGCAGCAACAAGCTAGTCCCACTACATCTCAGAGTTTTGCACCGATAGAGTACAGACGCTTGCAGATGGAACGCTCTTGCGGTAAATGCCGCAACCTGCTGCTTAGGTGCTGTGGAAGGCTCCATGGCGAGGTGCATGAGTACAAACTTGTTGAAAGCCTTGGCCGACGGCAATGTCTTGACATTGTAGACCGTGGTCTCCGAGCCCGTGTTTATCCAAGCCAAACCTTGCGAAGTCTGTTTTTCATTGACCGTTTGCGAGGGTCAAGACCCACAGGGCTTAGGTCCCCAAGGCTTTTTTTGACAGTCAAGGAGCCAAGGCAAATAATGACACATAAGGACAAATAGTAAAACGTCAAAAAAAGACAAACAAAAAACCATAAAACCATATAAAACAATAATAGACAAATCCGGACAAACAGGGACAAATCCAGACAAGTAAACATAAGTTTAAGCAAAAATTTGATATGTGTTTTTAAGCAAAAATTTCAATAAAACTTGTGCAGCATTTTGAAATATGTTTAAACGATTAAACCTGTTAAAAAAGTGTAAATGCTTTCGATGTGTTTAAGAGCTCTCAAAAACCTTTTGAATTTGTTCAATAAAAATTCCAAAGTTGTTAAACAAGAAGAAGCTCGATGATGTACAGGACGAAGAAGACCTGGCACAGGGTGTGTTCATCGACTTAAGTAAGGTTATCAGATGTGAAAAGCAGTATGTTTCTAGTGGAGGTCTGCAGCTCTGGTTTGACTATTAATTTGAAGGCCTAAGCAACAGAACTCAGATATCAGCAACAGGTAAGTAAGATACCGAGTTTGGGGGAGGATGAGGGGGGGGGGGTATTGTGCCACAACAACAAAAACAACGGTAGCCTGCCAGCATCATCTCTACATCATCTCTTCATATCACCGTCTAACCATAGCAGCTCATCATCACACCCTGATACCATTTCATCCTCATCATTATGTCATCATAAGAAAAATCATCATAATCATCACCATCAGCATCTTATCTTTATCATCATCATGATTGTGTATACCATCACCAGCACTAACACAACATCTTCATACAAAGAAGACATATGTCCTAGGATATGACAATGAGTATAGACTGTGCACCCACAAAATGTGCAGCTATAATCAAACCTGGTGAACCCTCCTCAATCCCCCAAAGCTCTGAAGCCCCAAGGCCCGAAAATTCTCCAACTCCTGAAACCCACCCCCCCCCCCTAAAGCTCTAAAACGCAACCCCACCGAGAGTCACTGAAACCCACAAAACCCAAAAACCATAAAGCCCGGGCTGTAAGTCTAGTCTAAGGTTCTAGAGTTTTTGCTATTAGTTTCTGGGGTTTCTAGGGCCTATAGTAAGGGCTTGTGAGCTCAGGCTCAGCCGGTTGTTTGTGGCTTAGGGGTAGCATAAAAGGCTTTAGGGCCTTAGGGCTCTTTAAGCTGTAAAGCCTTTCATAGGCTGGGGCATCTGGCTGGTATTAGATAAGATGATAAGATGGTATGATGACAGTGTGATAAGATGGTAAGATGGTGAGATGATAAGCTGATAAGACGATGCTGACATGATATAATGGTGATGATATGATGTTGAAATTATGGGGTGATAAGATGCTGATGGTGATAATGGTGACGATTATGATGATTTTCTTACGGTGACAGATTGATGAGGATGAAATGATGATACGACTGTGTCATGATGCGATGATGGTATGAGGATGTGCTGGGCTTGGAAATGATGAGTTGATAGTAGGTGCTGTTGTTCTAAGGATGATCGTGGCGGTAGATGATGGTGATTACAATGACAACAGGATGTTGGCCGGATGATGGTAGGGTACGGTCATCGGGTAGCGGTAAGTAGCTATGAGACTGCTGATGATGCTGGTGCAGATGATATAATTATAGAAATTATAGAGTTTGCTGGGCCTTTCGGGCTGTGCTCGGGATTCGGATTTAGAGTCATTTAGAGGGGTTTGTCGGGGCCTGTGTTGTTGGGAATTTCGGATTCGGGCCTTTGGGTTCAAGGACCCTAAGCCCCAGCCTTAAACCCCTTATTTTCATATTACGGCCTCCTCTGCGCAGTGACTGGTGCAGTGAGATCAGTATATCAAATACTATATTATTGGAACCCCTGCCTAAGACTGCCTAAGACCCTGAGGACCTTAAGATCCTAAGACCTTAAGGGCCCTAAATCGACCGTACACACCCACCATCACTCCATAGCACTGGTCACCAGCGCGATAAACCCAGACGGACTGAACAGCTTAACTTCGGGTTCTAGATAGGCTCGGGGTGTGAAACTTAGGCTGTCGGGGTATACTTACCAAGGGAAAGTATATAAGAACTTCAGCCCACAGACTTCAGTCTTCAGTCTGGCTGTGCCCTTCACTGGTCGATGCCGTGCCCCTGCCTGTGCTGAGGTCTCTTAAAGGGTTTTTAGGGCTTAAGGGTTGAATAAAGTTAGGGTGAAGGGGTTTATTTTGCATTACGGGTAGGATAGCCTTGGGATTGCTGTTCGGATGACCAGTGTAAGTAAGAAGGAATTTTAGTGTTATTATACCATTTCGGACTGTTGCTGTGATACTATTAGTACTAGTACCACTACTACTACCACTA